CCACTCTTTTTCCTTCTACATAGGACAACTGCATTTCCTACACACGGTGTAAGTCAAGAGAGACTAAAGACTTAGCATACGCCTTTTCAGAATGCTTGCAGTTAACCATATCTGTTGTGGTGGCTGTATGCTGTGTACAGCTGAAACTTAGCGAGGACTCTGGGCTCCAGCTTCCTTAAGAAGAAGACTAAAAGAGTGCCGGACATGATACGGTGATGATGGAGTGAAGAGAAACAGAGAGACGTTTGGGGAAGAAATGTGCATAAGAATTTTATAAGAACTGTGGGTGGAGGAGAAAAAGAACAGTATTTTCAGCTAACTGTGGCTAGTATGTGCTGTTCTCTTTTCAGTTCATCCTCAGGTAGCCACTTAATCAAAAACTTAAAGTACCATGTTCTCATCCTTTCTGCAATGGGATGTTACAATTGTTATTGGGAAAATAAGATCTAAATATTTTAATTTTTAAGTACTTTTCTTGGATCTCAAAAAACCCTCTAATGACTAGATAGCTGGGCCCAAGAACTAATTTTAGGAATGTCTGTGGAATTTTACTGGGGCAGTTTACTCATTAGTTGTTTTCAGAAGGCTCTTTTCAGATACAGCTCTTTGAACCAAGATGAACTACCCAGCATTAAGATGAACTACCCAGTAAAGCGACTTTTACTTTTAAATGTGAGGGAAAGCTGGAAATTGATATTACTTTAGAAGCTTATTCTAGAATTTTTAGAACACTGAATAAAAATTTTAAAACCTGCAAATTTCAAAGCAAAAAATAGAGATCACTGATCGTGAAATTGTTCAACATGTGCAGGCAAGCAAAAGAAAATCAGAGGCAAGGTTCTGCAAAAAGAGGAATGCAAAAATTGAGGCACTGGATCAGGCCTGTGGAATGATCTTATATATACAACTTCCCCTTTCACTTTGTATTGCCAGAAATGGAAAAGCTTGTATTGCTATTGTTTTGTAATCCTCTAATATACAAATAAATCTTCATACATATGGATATATAAAACATAAAATCCCCAAAGACTTGTGAAATTTGGTGTTGCAATTTATGTTTGTACAGCTAATTTTTTGTCCGCTAATAGTATATTTTCCAAGTAATTGTGTATCCTCTTACATTGTTTTTTGTGAGTGGGTTAGGTTTTATTTATGTCGTGGTAGTAAAGAGGTGATATGTGTTACAACAATGTCAAACGGTGCTTTTTCCGTGTATACCTAAGTCACACATCATCTTGCATTGAGGGAGATCTGCAGCCCAAATGTTGAATTTTATTCATGTAACATCTTCCCTAAATGTTGGGGTTTATTCATATAAAATCTTCCCTCTGCCTCAGACCTTTATTCTGAGCTCTCACATTTTAGAGCCCGGGGGGGGGGGGCTCCAAGACCCTGCTCCTATGAGATCAGACCAGGTTACGAGGGATTTTATCCAGTCTGGCCTTGACAACCTTGAAGCAAGGAGACTACAAAACTTCTCTGGGCTATCTGTTCCAATGCTTGACTGTCCTCATGGTGAAAAGGAGTCATCTTGTATTCAGTCTGGACTTCTCTTGTTTCAACTTATCTTCATTGCTTCTTGTCCTGCCACAGTGCACCACTGTGGTGAGCTTGATGCCGTGCTGAGCACCTTGTAGGTGCAGAGAGGCTGCTGTTAGGTCTCTCCAAGCCATCTCTTTTCTGGGCTGGACAAGTGCAGCTCCCTCAGCCTCTCCTCACAGGGCAAGTGCTCTGGCTCCCTGAGCATCTTGGTGGCCTACTGTATCCACTTCGTGGATGTACGTCTTGTATGGGCGGGCCCAATACTCATTAGGCGATATCTGGAATAATAAGCACTGAGTAGAGGCAATAATCAGTTCTCTCATCTGCTGGCAAGGCTCTTCTTAATAAAGCCTGGGATACTGTTGACCTTTCCTGCCAGGGCACGCTGCTGGCTCATGATCAGCTTGCTATCTGCCAAGACCTTTTCCACAGAACTGCTCCCCAGTCAGGCCTGTATTGTTGCCAGGGCCTCTCAGGTGCAGGGCTTTGTGTTTGTCCTGTCTGAATTCATACAGTTCCTGTAGCGTCCAGTCTGTCTAGGCCCATCTGAATGGCAGCCCTGCCCTTGGACTTGTTGACTGAACCTCTTCACCCCAGTTAAGGATCATCTTAAAATTCTGACCAGAGTACTGGCACTTCAAGTCATTTGGTAAAATTGTTTAATGGGCTTGTCCTAGGGTAGACTCCTGCAGCACCCCACTTGATGCCAGCCTCCAGGTAGCATACACCACAGTAACCATTATCCTCTGAGCCTGACCAGCCAACTGTTTCCTATCAGTCTAGTTGTTCATCCATTCTAAAAAAAGATATTTTTTTCCTGGTTCACTAACACTCACTTTCTTAAAGTTCCCATGTCCTCTTCTAGTTCCGTGATGCATTTTATTGTTAGCTTTTTTAAATACTGAAAACCTACCAATTAACCTTTATTTTGTGTATTGAACAGTCTCCAGGTTAATGAGTACTTTCTTGCTGTGACTAAATTTCTTGGTGAACTTCTCGTGTGGAACTTTGTCATTGCCTTTCTCTAAGTTACATGAAGCCCAGCTCATTTTTTTTTTTTAATGCTGACATAATTGTACCATATCTTCTTCAGTTTTTTATAATGCAGATTTTAGTCATTTCAGATACTTCTGCCTACTTTCTGCTTACTGTCTGAAGCAGAGGAAGCTGATTAATATTTCTTAAAGTAGATGGAGTTTTCTAGTTGCTTTAAAACAGATTGTGCCTGGACCTACAGTCTTGTTTCTAGCTCAGGCAATTTGTTGTTCGTAATTATTTGCCCGTTTCTTTTTGAAATTGTAATTTTGATAGATATGTATGCTAGACGATAAAGTGTCTGGAACAGCTATGTCACTAGCATTCTTCATATAACATTTGTATTAAAGCAACAGTTTATTGGCAGTACTTCAGCAATTGCCTTGTCCTCGTGGTGGTCTACTAGATGTTCCAGTTCTCATTCAAATTTCTTGTTTGTGATCTAGTAAGATAATTCCTGTTCCTTTCTAAGTTTTTGTTGGTTTTAAAATCATTACCATTTTATATTTCTGTTTTTATGATATCTCCTTTTTTATAGTTTCATTAAATTGCATTTCTATTTTATATGAGAATCTTGTTAGTTTAGCACTATATATGCTATATGTTGTGCTGCTTTACTCCCGAAGGCTATATTTTATCTTTCTTCCCAGTCCTGGCCACAGATTGTTCCCTTGCTTACCATTCACATGAATTCTACTTGGCTCACACCAGCAACAGGCTAAAATACCTCCTGATTTCAGGTTGTGTAAGAGTAACTCTTAAAACGTTTACCTTCACTCACAGGACTGTGCTGGTTTGCTATGTGGCCACAAATCTGTTGCTATTTTACCAGTTGTCACACTTGTGTCTTAACATCTGCAACAACAGAATTAGTGGAATAAATACCTTTCTTCAGCTAGATGGTTTTGAGTCCAGATGTTAGAGTTTTTCAGAATCAGATGTGGACTGAGGTACAAATAGGTTTCAGTGTGTCTGATATGGGGGGAATACATGGATAAAAGTTATTTACAAAACTGTAATGCAACATTTTCATCCTTTCAGACATTGCTTTTAAATGAAAATACTGTTTCAACTGTGGATTGCATGTGAACACGTTTACAAATGTGAAATTACCTTGCATGTATTTGATTGACTCTCTGTCTTCTGGATGACAGTACCACCTTATAGCTCATTAGTTTCTTCGTTCATTTGTGGTTTTGTTAGGGCTGTGTTTGTGCAGGCAAATAACCTAATTTCTGTTATCCTTGTTAGATGTCAATATGCAGATAATGGTTTTTGTCAGTATTTTTAACCTGTCAACAGGATCAAGGTACAAATGAAACTTGACTCTCTTGGGGGGAGGGTAGGGGCACAAGGGAAAGTGGCCACTGGATTTTGGTTTGGTTTGGGGTTTTTTTTGTTCCTTCAAAGACTGACTAAACCCTGTTATCTCTACTGACTGAATAGTGCTTCTCTCCTCTTTCCAGTTTAATGTAGTGGATCATGGATGGGCGTGTGATGATGATTTAGTCGCTTTGTTGTATGGCTTATTGAGTATTGTAGTGTGGCCTGTTTGCTGGCTTCAAATGAAGTAGAGCATTGCTGGTTATTTATATAAAATACTAAGTGCATGTGTTGAATTTTTGTATAAAGAGAAGAATATTTTGCTACCTGTACAAGAAATTCTGGCCGAATGAAGCAATTAAATGAAGAGTGTGTAATTAATGATCAAATATAATGTAATTCTTCTTTCTGAAAGAAAGAAATCACTGAAAACGTATGCTAAAACTGTATTTTAAAAGCAAACAATTAAACAGAAAACTTCCTTAGTGCCCTTGGAATCTTTTAACATGTGAGCCAAAGGAAATGCCTACCTTATGTTGTCATTGGAACAGCATCTATTTGAGGTTCCCTTAGGCCTCTTTTTTACCCTGCTAACTAAGCTATGCGTGTGCAGTGAAAGTCTCTTTTTCGTTATTTTTCACAAGAAGTACTCTGCTTTCACAGCAGTTTCTGTCTGTGGTTAGTAAGTTTCTTTGAAAATACTGATTTTTTTTCCAGAGATGCTGATAGACTTAACTTTTTTTAATTCCTGCTTTATACGTAAGGAAGATGTGGTAGAAGCCATACTTACTCAGAATGACAAAGCAAGTCCGTAACAGAGCAAAACTTAAAACCTAGATACTCTGACTGACAGTCTTCCGCTATGGCCATTAAGTGAATCTTTTTCCCTTGTAAGATTTTTCTGAAAATTGTGCTATAAAATTATACCATAGCAAGGGGTTCGGAGATGTACATATGTTGCGAAGAAATTACGTGGTCTGTTCTGGACCAGCCACTGTGATAAAGTGGCTGTCTTAAGTTGTTGCATATGGAAAAGGGCCACTTTAGGTGATGTGCGTTTTGCTCCACCAATTTCTGACCTGCAATGCTTGCCTTTGCAGATGGAACATGAGGATTTTGTAATGGAGGGGCATGGCAAGACTCCACCTCCTGGTGAAGAAAACAAACAGTGAGTCACACGTTTATTTAAAAAGGGCCTTACCATAGTAAATGGTGTGAAGCACTCTTGTTTAAATGTGCTGGGAGCATTGGTTGGTTGTTTGGTGCTTGCCCTTTTGGTTCTTTAAATATCCCATATATAATAGTGGATGGTGGCTGAAAAAAATAAAAAGCAGGATGTTGACTTGCCTTAAATTTAAAAGTGTAGAAATATGCATTGCAATTTTGGAAGGTAAATCAGAAATCCCTACTGTAAAAGGGATAATCATTCTGGAAGCTTGACACTGAGGTAGTGAGTTTGTACGTGAAGTTTTTACACAGCTCTTCTTCACTGAAATAATGTGAAATATGTTAGAACCAGGGCCTTCCTTTTGGTGTGCGTATGGTAGCTTGGTCCTCTTTGAAATATGAGCCTTACGTCTTTAGAATGTGTTTTAATAAAGGAACATAAACTGTAAACAAAATGCTCTTTCAAGGATGAACAAATTAAAATGCTGAT